ACTGACTGGCCATTTGTATTTCATAACACCATTTTGAAATTTCATAACACAATTGAAATATGACTGAAATATAAACCCAAGCATGTCATTATGCTAAATTCAGTAATACTATGTCTTTATTTTTTATTTATTTTATTTTTTTTTAATTGTTATTATTTTTATTTTTACAAAAGCCTTTTGTCACAGGACGAAAGTGGGCATTTGTCAACTACTCATTTTTCAGGTCATTTTGATCAATTATAGCGTGAAGGCAATAATTATATTTAAGGAATTCATCAATATTAAAATTCTACAGTATATTCTCCAAATATATTAAAGTTAAAACATTTATAATTAAATAAAGTTTTAAATTCTACAACAAATTCAATATTACCATTCAAAAGGGTCTGTAAGATTTTTTTATTTAAGAAATTAATATTATTCAGCAAGGATTCAATAACTTGATCAAAACTGACAGTAAAGACAATTATAATGTTAAAAAAAGATTTCCGTTTAAATGAATGCTGTTGTTTTATACTTTCTATTCACCAAAAAATCCTGAAATATCATGGTTTCCACAAAAACATTAAGCAGCACAACTGTTTTTAACATTGATAATAATAAGAAATGTTTCTTGAGCAGCAAATCAGTATATTAGGCGCGTGCTCTTCAATTGCACGCACAAAGGCGCCGGCGTGCGCTAGCCTGTATCCTTTCATATCAAAGCGCAAAATAAACTATACATGCATGCAATGCCGTGGTCAGTTAAAATTATACTGTAATGTTGAATGGCTATAGTCAATAGTTAAATATTGGGGGTGGGGCAATTTTATAGAGAAATCAGTATTGGTATCATTGATACTGGCCTTCAGTCATAAAAAAGATGCAATTAAACAAATATAAAAAAAATACTGTCTTTATGTTGTTTGTACATTAATTTGAAGATTGAATGTGAAATTATTGCAATATAAAAGTATATTAAAAAACTTTAATGTTAGGTGGGATTAATCGCGATTAATTTCAGAAAAATGTGCGATTAATTAGTACATTTTTTTAATCGATTGACAGCACTAATAATATATATATATATGTATCAAACAATGGGGTCACATGACACAATTCAATTAATGAGAATGTGATACATACAACCAAGTAACCAATAGGTGCGTTCGACTTGAAGCACGGCTACAGACGGCAGTCAACAAGAGTAGCCGCTTGCAGTCGGGGGCGGAGTTGAAAACGGAGTCGCCAAGCCGGACACTTTCTGTTCCAGTTAGTGATGCTCGCGTGGTGTTTGCATACTATTTGTCAAATATACAGACGTTTCAGAAACGTTTTCATGAGCAACAGATATATACTGATTATATACTGCTTAATACATCGCCATCTGTTCAAGAATAAAGTTCAACGTAAATATATACTATTTAAATACTAATAAAGTGGGGGAATATATGCTTTCATCAGTGTTTTATAATAAACGTGACTCAATATAACATTGTGACTACAGTAAAAAAGCTTTTACTGTTCTAAAAACAGATTTGTGGCTATTATTGGAATTGAAAAGGTTACAATAAACCCGAAACACACGTGATAGTTGTCATGCGGTGAATCTGGCCAATCGTGAAATGGCTGTGTCGTCGTCAATGCTCCTGCAGCCGCTCTGGAGAAACTGCGCCGGCTGAGTCAGCCAGCTGCTCTCGAAACGCTCTTGCGGTGCTTTGATGCCACACGTGACAGTGACGTGGCGTCGGCGCCATCTCAAGTCGGACAAAATTACTAACCGGCATGCACTGCTTCAAGTCAGATTGCGATCGATCTGCGCAGTGCTGCATGAAGTCGAACGCACCTATTGAGAACAAGACACATGAACAAAATGACCACATGGCAGGATCACATGACAGGGTCAGGGAAACACATGACAAGTCAGGAACCAAGACAAGAAAATACAGAATAAAAGACAAGAAAACCTAAACAAGAAACAAAACTCAAAAACCAGCGTGACATACATTTATATTCATATATGTATTCATGTATGAAATCATAATCAGTCCACCATTTTCTCAATAAATCTGTTTTACTCAGAAAAACAGAAATCAAGTGAGCTCAAAATGGGGCTCTACATCGATTTTATACTTTAATTTTAGATTATAACATCCATAAAGCTCAAGGAACCATAAAAGCAATTACCTATAATTACAGAAACAAGGACTATTTCATTTTCACATCAAAATCAAAGCTTCAACCGAAACCCATCTCTCTCCAAGAAGAAGGTAATAAAGCACAGTCAACAAAATATGAATATTTCATGAAATCTGCTAATCTCTAAGGCTTGCGTGCCAACAATCTGCCATGCACTTAACACCCAGCCCCGCTGGACTCGTCACCGCCACCGCCGCACGAACACACGCACATGTCTTCTAGATCTGACACAGTCGGGCAGAAGCGAGCCTTGCCCAAGCTGCCTATGGGCACACTGAATCATACATAATTCTGTAGCTGTGAGTGTACTTAGCTTCCCTGCATCTCTGTCTGTCTCTGCCAGGTTTAAATGCTCGCGTATTTACCGCATTTGCTTTTCCAAATAATTATTTCCCCGGCCCTGCTCTCTTCAGGCTCATTTGATTTTAATCGAGCCACTCAGGAGAGATAACAAACGGCAGAATACATTTGTATTCTGACTAATAAGTGCGGATGCTAATAGAGAAAGAGTGAGAGAAAGGAGAAACAATGAGAGGGAGAGGAAAGAGAGGAGAAACGCAAAGCCACACTGTAACCATTTCAAGGATCAGTGCTTTTTGCTCTGTCGCACTGTCCCACGCACAACATAAAGGCATGCATATTTACGATCCCATGGCCCTCAGAGAGCGGTTAAGTAACCCAGAGAAATGGGAGATGCCGGGTGGTGAGTTTTAATGACCTTGAAGAGCTGAACGCTGATAAATTTCCTACCATCTTTCATTTGCATTTTTACGCGGGATCAGAAAAGGATCTTGGGAGGTTTCACTCTTTGTGAAGAAAGAAAGACATTTCTCTAAAGCAATGTGGATAAAGAATAACACAAAAAAATTAATCTGAAGAATCAAGTGCTTTAAATCCAGTGAAAACTGTATGATTTGATCTGTCCTTTACATATTTTGCTTGTTTGATACGACCCTGGTGAGATGCATAATAGTCTTAATATATATGATATACATATTAGTTATGACTTTGGTCTCAAATAAACAGCACTGACTGGCCATTTGTATTTCATAACACCATTTTGAAATTTCATAACACAATTGAAATATGACTGAAATATAAACCCAAGCATGTCATTATGCTAAATTCAGTAATACTATGTCTTTATTTTTTATTTATTTTATTTTTTTTTAATTGTTATTATTTTTATTTTTACAAAAGCCTTTTGTCACAGGACGAAAGTGGGCATTTGTCAACTACTCATTTTTCAGGTCATTTTGATCAATTATAGCGTGAAGGCAATAATTATATTTAAGGAATTCATCAATATTAAAATTCTACAGTATATTCTCCAAATATATTAAAGTTAAAACATTTATAATTAAATAAAGTTTTAAATTCTACAACAAATTCAATATTACCATTCAAAAGGGTCTGTAAGATTTTTTTATTTAAGAAATTAATATTATTCAGCAAGGATTCAATAACTTGATCAAAACTGACAGTAAAGACAATTATAATGTTAAAAAAAGATTTCCGTTTAAATGAATGCTGTTGTTTTATACTTTCTATTCACCAAAAAATCCTGAAATATCATGGTTTCCACAAAAACATTAAGCAGCACAACTGTTTTTAACATTGATAATAATAAGAAATGTTTCTTGAGCAGCAAATCAGTATATTAGAATGATTTCTGAAGGATCATGTGACACTGAAGACTGGAGTAATGATGCTGAAAATTAAACTTTACCATCAAATAAATAAATTAAACATATTGAAATCGGAAACCGTTCTTTTAAATTGTAATAATATTTAACAATATTACAGTTTCTACTGTATTTTAGATAAAATAAATAAGAGACTTCTTGCATAAGAGATTTCTTTCAAAAACTTTCAAAAAAATTATTTACAAAATATTGATTTGCTTAAGATTTATCTGAGATTTTCTAAAGATTTACATTATTAAATGATTGCCATTTTAAAGCGTTAGATAACAGAAAAGGGTAATTTGAGTTTGCACAATTACTTATCAATTACAGATATGTATGCATGCAAATAAAAAAGACCAGAGGGAAAAATCATGACCAAAATCATACAGTGTGCACCGGGCAGATGTTGGCATTGGTGATTTGACTTTCTTCTTTCAGACGAATCCAGTCAGAGTTATATTAAAAATTGTCCTGGCTATTCCCAGCGTTACAATGGGGGTAAGTGGGTGTTGGTTGTCAACAGTCCAGAAGACGTGAAATAAAGTGCATGCATCCGTAATAAAACATCCCTCACACGGCTCCATGTGAGGCACGTTTTATTATGGATGTGCGCGCTTTATTTGACGACTTGTGGACTGTTCAACTGCAACACCCACTGACTGCAATGATAGAGCTTGAAATAGCCAGGATAATTTTTAATATAACTCCGACTGGATTCGTCTGAAAGAAAAAAAGTAATATACACCTAAGATGCTTCGAGGGTGAGTAAAACACAAGCTAATTTTTATTTTTGGGTGAACTAACCCTTTAAGCACACAGTGTACTTTGTTCTTCCCTTCACAGTTCTCAATGTCTTTGCCGCGTCTTAAAGTCAAGAGCCCAATCCGCTCTATGGTAATTATACGTCATACTTGAGGTGTACTTGATTTTTCAGCGGAAGAAGATAAGAAATGCAACTGAAATAGAACTGTGCAGTCATATCGGGTTGGATGGCTTTTAAAAGATTGATGCTCAGGCTTTAAAGGCTTTAGTGTTCTATAGAGAGTTGAGCATATACTATCATACTAGCTTATTCTATTTGGTACACCTAAAAATATGCACATACTTCCTTTGTTCTATAATAAAAGCACTCACCTGAGATGCATCTCCGTTGGCTGGGGTCTTTTTGAGGCCGTACCATCTTGTAACACCGCCACCCTGTCTTGTGTAAGAGGGGCATCCCGTACCGGGAGGGACAGGACAAGTGTTTCCTTGGTGACAGTGAGAGCCTCCTCACCTGGCCGGCCCATGTGCTGCTTGGCGTAGTCGAAACCCTGCACGGGCTGGACGGGAAATGATGCGCCGTGATTGGACAGGGGAGAAGAAAGTATAAGAGTTACACAATGCGGCATCGGGCATTTTATTTCAATCAGCAGAGGAATGCTGGCCATCCTAATTTATTCATGGGCTGAAGGTGCTTTGAGTCTAACTATATTTCATGGAGCCATGGGATATTTAATATGGTAGAGCTATGGAGCCCCTCGTTTTAATGAATTATGGATCAATCTCCTGCAGAACTGGGCACATGGAGGCAGGGTGCCTGTTGGATCTTTAAAAAAATGTATGTTCGTGTCACAGGGCGTTGCTGTTATCATATAAATGGGGAAAATCTGTGATTAATTCGATTAATAATTCATGAAAGGTTGCGCTTTGCACGTGGTGTTGTCACATCTACAAGATCTATTAGTGAGGTGTATCATTTCTACACCATCTGTGTCATCAAGCAGAATTGCAAAATAATTATGATGAATGTGCAATATTAAAATTCTGATAATTATTTTCATGTAATAGCTGATAGCCAATAAATAACCAATATTAAAATTGTGTAACATTTTGTAATAAATTAAAAATAAAACACAATAAATAGGCACCAATCATTAAAAAAAAAAAAAAATCTTAAAAAAAAAAATGCTAAAATAAAAATATCAATCATTCTAAATGCTATAATGGAATCATAATATTTTAATGTATTTTATATATAATTTTTTTGTTAATTATATATATACAAACAATTTAATTAAATGTATCAATGAATTTATTAAATAAATTAATGAATTTACATTTATTTACATTTTTATTATATACATTTATTTAAAAAAAACAAGTATATATATTTGTATAATTTATATTATAAATAAATTGTATATATGATTGATTTTAAATAATTTAAAAATAATTAATAAAATAAATAAATTAAATTACATTACATTTTAATATCGCTTGGTACTGATTTATTGTGCATTACTAGCTAAAATATTTTGACGACACCAAAAAGAAACAGCAAAAGTTCTGGGAAAAGCAGTATGATTTCAGTATCATCTCAGACCCCTTATATAAATCTTCGTTTAATCCAAGTTCAATTTGATTTAAGCATTGAATCCAGGTTGTAAGTCTTGCACGGGATGTGAACTGTGCAAACAAGCTGGGGAAACACATAAAGACTGTTCAAACACATCGACAGGTTGAAGCAAAAAGCATGCAAGCGGGCACACATGCAATTGATCCCGTCTGAGCCTGACAAATCATCAGTGTCGGTATCTGAAATCCTTATATGACTTTATTCTCATTTTAGATCATCCAGTGAACATTCACACACCTCCTCTAATTCCCTTACGCTAAACATGGGAAGCTCTTGCATGAAACCGGAACGCTTTATACACTGATCCACAAATTACTGTGCATAAGCAAAATCATGTTCCTGAAAGGACGTCTTAATTGGATGAAGCAGGGAAAGTTTTCAGATCGGAGAACATGGCTAAGAGGGAGCACGATCAAAGAGACGGTTATCATAATTACAATTGATTTGCATATTGTTTTACTCCATTACTAAAAACAATACAGTTCACTCAAAAAATACTGTCATCATTTACTCACCCTCATGTTTCATTCTCATATGACTTATGTTCTTCAGTGGAACACAAAAACAGAGGTTTAGCAGAATGCCGAAGCTGCTCTTTAACATTCAATTAAAGTGGATGGTGATCATGTACTGTCAAGCTCCAAAAAGGACAAAAAGTCCCATAAAACATCATAAAAGCCTTTTATGAAGTCTTTTGAAGCCATTTGATAACTTTACGTGAGGCACAGACTGAGTTGAAGTTGTTATTCATTGAAAAGTTTGCTTGACAGTTTTGGTCACCATTCATTTTCATTGTACAGAAAGAGCAGCTTAGACATTCTGCTAAACATTTGCATTCTACACAACAAAGAAACTCTCTTTTGCTCACCAAGGCTGCATTTATTTGATCAAAGATACAGTAAAAACAGTACAGTTTTGAAATATTATTACAATTTAAAATAACTGTTTTCTATTTGAATATAATTTGAAATGCAATTTATTCCTGTGATGCAAATCAGAATTTTCATCATCATTACTCCAGTCTTCAGTGTCACATGATCCTTCAGAAATAATTCTATACTGATTTGCTGCTCAAGAAATATATCTTATTATTATAATTTTATGATAATAATCATTTTATGTTGAAAACAGTTGAATATTTTTTTCATATTTTTGCGGAAACTGTGATACATTCTTCAAGGACAAATAAAACAAAGTTAATATTTGTAACTGTAAATGTCTTTATTGTCCGTTTTGATCAATTTAATGCATCCTTGCAGAATAAAAATATTAATTTCTTTGGAAACAAATCTTAATGACCTTAAATTAATTTACTATGAATAAATCCCTCTACACATCAACACATATAGCTGATCTCCTTCCTGTTAGATAATTTAATGTATCCCGTTTTAGATGAAAAGTCCTTGCAATCTATTTAAACTTCATCTAATTATGCATATATGTAACCTTGACATATTGCTCAGCTTGGGTTGGCCTAATTTCTTAACCTGCATCTGGATCTATTTGAAAGCCTCATAGTCCAAATGCGACAAAGAAATCATAATTACAGTAATACTATGGTAATACTCTTGCCCGTTCTGTTATTAATCATCGTCCTGCAATCTCAAATAGAGGTACAAGAAAGGAGATATTTGTGCTGTGCTGATCAAAGATATCCTCAGTGCGCTAGATCTTACTGAACACTTCATCGATTACACGGAGGACAGATAATCTTTTGTTTCCCCTTCCCCCTGCGGACTGATTTCCTGCAAGCACTGTCAACAAGAAGGATGTCTGGACTATAAACATGCAGCTAAGCACCAAGCACAAGCCAGAAATACCTGGTGGTGATAACTCCCATCTCTTCGATATGAGGTCTGGACAGGAAAAGTAGTGAAGACACAATTGGAGGGATATTTTGGGGGGGCGTTAAAGTGAAATTTGTCATTCCAAGGTTTGAAACAGCATGTGGTGACAATGTCAAGTGTTTGAGGAGCAAGCCACCATTTCAAAAGGTTATGTCCAGCAACATATTCAGATGTAAAATGAAAAATAAAAGGATTTTGTAAATAGTACGAAGGAAATCAGGATATTTTAGGGCTATTAGTTGTCAAAATGAGATGACATCATCGCTATGATAAAACAATGGGTCTCATTCCCTCATTTAAAATAATCCCCATTCATTAATATTGCAAAGAAGATAAAAACAAATCCACATATGAATCAAGCAGAAATTTTGTATGGGACATTTTCTTTTTGTGGTGAAGATGTTATCGGTTATAATAAATTACGGTTCTTATTAGAGCTATTAATATTATCAGGGGTGCACATAAGTGGTGTGCATACATGACCAAAATAAAAAATGCGCTGGGTAAACAAGTTCAGACCGCTTATTTGCATACCAACATGGGTGATAGCTGTTAATGACCAATTACAGTTTTAGATCGACTAACGCTAATACTGTATAAGATTTCCATTCGAACTGAAAACATAAATCTAGTCTAATATGTGCGCTGCTGAATATTATTATACGATAGTTATTATTTTCTGTTTTTAAAACATGGATTAAAATAACTTATTAATTTACATTGATCAATTTTACATACATACATACACACACACATATACAGTATGTAAGATGCATACATTTCTTCTACATGTTTTTGATGTAATTTAAATATATATATATATATATATATATATATATATATATAGTGGGTACGGAAAGTATTCAGACCCCCTTAAATTTTTCACTCTTTGTTATATTGCTATATATATATATAATAAATAACAAAATTTAATCTCTAAAAATGAAAAACTAGAAATGATTAGAAAATACAATAATACATAAAATATTAACATTTCATTTAAAAGTTATTTTAAATTATTTATGTAATTAATATATAAAATTATATTAAAAACAATTTAAACATGTTTTATTTATAAAATGGTTGTAGTTATTTTTTCTTTCAATTTTTTATTTTCAGAGAAATATCTGCCATAAATGTAAATAATTATCATTTTATCCTTGTCAGTCAGAATGTTAATATTGGTGTATCTCTATTTCAATTACTGGTGAATCAGACCCATTGTCACTGAACTTCCATAAAGTTATGTTTAATATTAAATGGATTTATTAATATGCTGCTGACATAACTGTCTCTGTTTGGACAAGACAGAGATGTGTTTATTTGAGGAGTCGTGGTTTGGAAGAGCCTACCTTGGTGCGGGGATGAAAATTGCGAAATGCGCTGGTTTTGAATACAGTTCGGTTTCTCCTGCATATGATAGCAACTGCCATAATCACCACAACCATCACCAGCGATACAGGTATCAGGACCGCCAGTATCCAGAGGTTACTAGGCAGATTCTTCACCACCGCTGTTTACACACAAACATAGATTGGAAATCAATAGACTCATTCACAATGCTTGCACATGTTTCCGCCACTTGCGTCTCCAGCACACTCTCTTACAGTAATCCAACTCCCCTCGGTCTCCTACTGTCTGTGGTTAGCTCCTAATGAGCTGAATCTGTCTTTCTGCTGTAGCTCTTATCTGGGAGATTAAACCCCCACTGTTGGGTCTGATTGTGTATTATTCATACAAAACTGGGGCTTTGCTCGTCTCCGGCAGACAAACTGGGCTTGACGCCCCAGTTGAGAGCTCAGTAAACTTGTGTAAACTCTCTACACCCAAATCCCCTGCGCTTTCTCTAGCACGAGATAGCTATAGACCTCATTTGGAAAAATAAGTCAGCATTATCATACTAACTTTATTTGGTTCCTTATTAAGTCAAAGTAGAATTTCCACTTTGAGTTAGAGTTTCACTTGATAAAACATTTCTGTTGTCTGTTCTTGCATTAATAAATGTAACAAGATTTTCACATTTTCTGCCATAAATGTGAGTGGAGCAAAATCTGATGCTAAGGTAATGGCAAAGCAAGGTTGCTAGCTAAGTACTTATTTGCCAACCCTGATATTTTGGTCTCTAGAATTGGCTTTGCGCGCTTCAGTATGTGTAGTAAACGAAACCGCGCATCTGCACCATTCACTCACACAAAGACACACAGAACATGTAAGATTCATATTTAAATAGTCTTTCTGCGGTTTAATATTCACAGACGCTAGTCCATATCGCCATTTGATTTAAGTGTACTGACCTACTTTTGATTTATCCATTCAAAATTTGGCAGATTCCGCGATATTCTGCATTATTATACAGTAAATTATATTTTTATGACTGGATTCTGCGATTCCATCCGCGTTTTCTGCATCACTGAAATCATAGGGCCCTAACTGATGAATTGCCAGTGTAAGACTATGTGCCAGGGCTCAGACCTGGACAGACCCAGCCCAATTTAACTCCTGGGGTCAAAACACCAAGAATGAGCATTAGCACCGCTAATATAAACTATAATGTACTAATCACTCTTGACACCTTAAACATATACAGAGTTCTGGCATGAAACTCTAGATGGCGCAGTCCGATAGGTCTAACTCAATCTGACCTAATGACATCATAATCACATGGCACAGATGATTGGTTCTCTCCTAGATCGGTAGCCAATGAGCTCGCTGCTCAACATTTAAATATATGACTAGTGCTGCCGTAGCAGTTGCAGCTTGCTTCAGAAACCCTCCACCTTCCCCAGCTCCACCTGTATAGATCTGCTACGAGGTGATTCATTATTTCATGCATGTTATTTTTGCAGCAGCAATATTTCTTACATGCTCACAGCAGCATGTTGTGGAAGTATTAGCAGTAGCAAGTCTCGGTACTTGCTCTGCCGCAGAAGCAGCAGCAGCGTAGCAGATCTATTCCACCAAGACCAAATACATTAACATTGCATTGTACATTACCATGCCA